AATGTGTCACTGAAGAAATGAAAATCAAGAAACTACTTGGAGAAAATAATGCTACTGTATGATCTATGAGTGAAGAATTTAATCAGAAGAAAGTGTTTTGAAGAGATGAAACTAATAAAAAAAATCAAAATCCATGACATAGTTTCTGCTGATCTTTGTTGGCAAGATATGTCTCCTTTCGGCAACAAATAGATGCATTTTGCTTTATAAATCCAGTCTACTATTCTATGGCATTTGATTGATGAGTAAGCCATTTATATTCAGGGTTAATATATATGGGTGGTAATTTGGTCCTGTCATTTAGCAATGGGTTGTTCATTGATTTAGTCTTCTGTTGTTATTTTACTGGGATGTTCTTTGCATTTGCCTTTGGTTTGGTAGGTGCTATTCCTTTTCTCTGTCAAGGGAACATCTTAAAGTAACATTTGTAGAGCAGGTTTGGAAGAGGCATATTCTTTTAACTTTTCTTTACTGTGGAATAATTTTATTTCATTTTTAAGACAAAGGAAAGTTTTGCCGGGTATGCCACCCTGGGCCAATAATTTTTTGCTTTTAGAATCTGGAATGTGTTACTCTATTTTCTTTCTTGTAGAGCTTCCTGTGAGCGGTCTCCTGTGAATTGAATTGGCATTCCTTTATATGTCAGTTGATTTTTTTCACATGCACATTTAAGGATCTTTTCCTTATGTTCAATTGAAGAGAGCTTGATTATCATGTGTCATGATGAAGATCGCTTTTGGTCAACCCTGTTGGGAGTTCTGTGCCTCTCCTGGATCTTGTTTCCCAATTATTTCTCTAGGTTAGGGAAATTTTCCCTTATTACGTCACTGAATACTTTTGTAAACTCAGCTTCTCTTTCTGCACCTTCTGGGACACCCATAACTCTTATATTTGGCCTTTTAATAGCGTCTCTCAATTCTTGAAATTTTTTTTAGCTTGACCCAGCTCTGCTTCCAGCTTTTTTTTTTTTGTTCCCTCCTGGTAACAGGAAATATCTTCTTCCAACTCTGAGATTCTTTCTTCTACCTCCTTCATTCTATTTTGGAGAGAGACTCTCCAATGTACTTTTAATTTGTGCCATTGTATTCTTAATTTTTGATATATCAGCTTTCATTTGATTCATTTCCTATGTGACATATTTCTTGAACTGCTGTATTATGTGTTTCTTGTTGTTGATAACAAGCTTTACAACAAGTGTTTTGAATTCTGTATCCCCCATTTTCTCAATGTATTTCTCAGTTAACTCTGAGTTTGGCAAAGGCTTTTGTATCTTCAATACTATTCATTGTGTCATTGTCTCTTTTGCTCTTGGTCATTGTACTTCTGCTTATCAGACTCTTCTCCTTAAGGCAGGTTAGAAGTCGTGTCACTGGTCTACAATTCGATTTTACCTATTGTGGTTGGCAAATGGCTCTTTGTTTGCAGTCCTTGTGCCACTCCCTCCAGCAAATTCCAGGTCTGGGTTCTTATGTCAGACTTCCACCATGGGCTCCATAGTCCCAACTCCTTGCTCACAATTCTTCACTTCCTGCGATACCATGCTGGGGCTGCACCATTGTCTGTACTACCTTTTCCCCACTTCCTGTTAGAGTAGTACTCAGGATTAGGGAGACAAAATGTGTCCTCTTTATAGCTAGGATGTTAGTGGTATTGATCTTGCTGGAACCTGTTGGCTGTTAGGTTTGAAGTCCACATTGACTTTTTTTTTTTTTTTTTTATAAAATTTTATTTTGACATTCTTTACATAGTTAATTAGGGTAAGAAGGTTCAAGGGCTACAGGAAAGTGGATAATACTAGTATGTTTTCCATATTGTTACCTTCATGTTTAAAGGGGGTTATTTAAGGGAGAAGGCCCACCCATTTTCCCACCCTCCCCAGATCCCGGATGTAGGGCATGCGCTGAGGTTCTTGCTCAAGTGGTTTTGATATTGCAACAGTTATGAATCGTTGTCAATCTTGCCACTCCAAGCACTATGAGGGCTTTGAAAAATCCACTGATTGACATAGTCCATCATAGCTGAGATGGTTGGTTGACCCGTTCTGTCTTCTCTCTTTTCTTCGTTAGGGTTTTGAGTCCAGCATTTAGATTAGGAAGATCTCCAAAGAAACTTCTTGTATGTGCTAACAAGTACAGGGCCCGGCACCGTCCATCGCTCCAATCAGCTGGTGGTTGCAGTTGCTGGGTTGGTTCTGTTTTCACTCCCGACTTCCACTGGAACCAATGGGTGTTGCAGTCCAGCCTAGTTCTGCCCAGCACATACTTGGCCCTCACATAAACCAGCGGGAGCTGCAGCCAAGGTTGGAGCGACCCACAATAACCCCCACCAGGCCCACCCCCTACCCTGGTTTGCCAGTAAGTGTAGCAGTAATCCAGTCTGTCCCACACCCCATTCCACCCCAGCCGCTATCTTAGTTATCTTAGTTTTATGTCCTGTGGAACTGTAACCCAAGAGGGATGAGCCCACTATTTCCCTCCCAGGCCTCTCCCACTCCCAGATTCCAGTTGATGCTGCATCTAAGCCCAAACAACCCTCGCCCACTTTAATTTTGTTTGCACCAGTAGGAATAATCCACCCAGCCCGGCTTTTCCCTGATCTGGTCCGCACGAAGCCCACAGGTGTGGTAGCTCTGCCTAGTCTGGTCTGCCCCCATCCCAGCCCATGTTCTCCTGCGGAAGTAGCTGTCCTGCAAAGGAACCCTCCCTTATTCCCCTGCCGGCTCTGCCCACTTCCTTTCTTGTTCTCAGGCTGGTAGGGCGCTGCGGTCCCTTCCGGTACAGGCCACCTCATCTCAGCATTCCATAATGTGCACTAGTCTTTGTTGTGACCAACCCTAGGTCGACCCACACTGGTGCCTGGATTTGCCAGTGGATGATGTGGACAGATTCAGCCTGGTCTTGCCCCCATGTCAGCCAATTGTATGCCAGTGGGTAGCTTTCCATGGCCTTTTCTGGGCTGTTTCCTATCATGTTTCTTGCGTTTACCTGCCGGGTCTGTGTCCTGCCAGAGGAGTTGCCCAGGCTCCTCCATCAGAACCTCTCCCAATGCCAGGTTTCACGCTTACCAGTGGGTCCATGAGCCAACCTTACTCAGTCCACCTCCTGTAATAACAGGAACTGTGGCTTTTCCTGACTGGCCTTCCACCCAATCTGGTTCTTGCTGTTGGATGTTCCAGCCCAGCCATGGTTTGTCTATACCCACATATGGCTCACACATGGCTCTGTAGGGGTTTGAGACCCTGCCTAGTCCATCCCACATCTGCCCTGGTCCTCCAGAACACCAGGGGGAGTCGGGGTCCGGCCCGGTTCGGTGCATCCAATCCCAGTCCACACTTGTGCCAAGGGAGACTACAACTGTTTCCAGATCAGAACGCAGCTCCCCTTCCAGGCCATGTGCCTCTTGGTGGGAACTTCAGCCCAGCTAGGGTTGTCCCCTTTGCTCCCCAACTGGGTCTGTTCCCAGCCATAGATCACTTGCCTGCCAATGGATGCTCTGACTCAGCTTGGCACAACTCCTCACCTGTCCCGACCTCTGCCTTAGACACTGTGGCTTAGCGTCCCTGGCTCCAACAGACCAGCAGGTACAAGAACCTAGCTCGGCAAGACCTCTGCTCCCTCCTGGTTTCTAGTTTTACTTGTGGGCTAAGGTTTGTTCAGTCGTGCCTAATCTACTCTGTTCCATTACCAGTTGACACATTGGCCAACTGTTGGAGCTACTTTTGCAGGACAGGCCCCAAGCCCTAGCTTCTGCATGACTGCTATTTGGTGCTCAGAATTATTAGTGACTGAAAGTTTTGCTAAGGAAGAGTTACTGCCTGTTTCAGGTCCAAGAAACACAATGGGTTCAACCTGGAGCGAATTAAGCAGCAACTCAAAGAACCAAATCCCCAGAGCTCCCCAGCCGGGCGGCCAGCAGGCAGAGCCTGGCACCAAATGGCGCACTGGCCGCCCGGGGACAGCTCAGCACATGGCGGCTGTGCCCATGGCGGCTGTCCGGGATCCAGGCATGAGACGCCCCGTCCTGAGACCCACCCCACATTGACTTATTTTGACCCGTACGATGCTAAAGTCAGTATATTTTCCCTGTGGGACCAGTGCAATGCACTGAGCTCAGTAAGTACATTCCCAGCTCAGTGCACACACAGCTCACTGTTGTCCTGCAGTCTTAAAGCTTTTCCACAAAATGGCACCTGATGGGCCAATGCTACAGTTTTTGGTCTGCTGGCCATCAGGTCTGAAGGCTACTAGGACCTATCTTGGTTGGAAGCTGTAGAATGCCACGTTGTTGCAGTTCACTGAGTCAGATATGAGTTCACTCCCGGCTCCCTGAATGTGCAGTACTGTCCCATAGTCTTTGTCTCCCTATATAAAATGGTGCCCATTTCAGCTCTAAGGGGTGGATTGGGCTGTGAAGTCTACCCTGTTCTTGTACTGCCTGTCTGGGACTTGTCACACTATTTCTGCTCCTGGTCAAATCAAACAGACTAGCAGGATGGGCAGTTCTTTGGGTTTACCTCCTGAGTGCCTGGTGAATGCCCCTTCCCATCTTGTTGCTGGTGGAGTTCCAGCTGCTGATGCAGTTCAGATTACTGTGAGCCGAATGCTGCTGGGGTATCAGTCACTGCAACACCACACCCATGTCTTTGCTGCTTTCCTGTGTCTGTCAGTCTTCAGGTGTCCCTTTGCTGTTGTTCTGTCCTGATTTCTTGGAATGTGCCCTTTCTGCTTCACACTGGTTAATGTTTCTCTGTTTAAATGTGTGTTTATCCTATTCTGCCATCTTGATTCGCTAAGCCAGCTCTCTTCTTATGGTCTGGGAGCAAAGGATGACCCAAGTCCCTTGGACTCTGCAACCACGTGGGAGACCTGGAAGAAGCTCCTGGCTTTGGTATCAGCTCAGCTGCAGCCATTGCAGTCACTTAGAGAGTGAACGTCTCTCCTTCTCTCTGTAAAAATCTTCCTTTCAAATTACAAATAAACAAATCTTAAAAAGAGAGGGAGAAAAAGAAAAGAGGAAGAAGAGGAGAGGGCCAAGGAAAGAAAAAACAGAAAGAAGGGGGTGGGGAGAAGGCCCGGAGGAAGAGCTGAAGGAAGGGAGCAAGGAGAGGGCAGCTTTGTGTTTTCTGGGAGTCTTGGTGGCTTGCCTGAGGCTTCTGCATCTTCCCGCTCCCCCGAGGGGTATGGTAGAAGAACATCTGCTGGGCAGCCACCATCAGAGCATTTTTCTGAGCCGTTTGGCACGCAAGAGTCACTTGCAAATTTTCCACTCCAGAATGAAGCAAGAGCTAAAAAAAGAAAATGTGAAGGGATTTTTAAAACACTTCTTTTTTAGTTAAGGGTTGATGACACCATTTATTCAATGTACAAATACACAAGTCAAACTGCAGGGTACAATGGGGTCCTAACAGCTCAGCCCTTAGCCTGAATCTCACTTCTCCTTATGCAGCAACTTATCCTGGGGAAGCAGCTGCCAGGTAGGCTTTGCTGCATCCAGTTTCCCTAGTTATCAGGATCTTACCCTCACTAGTCAACAGGTGCTTTGTAGCCAAGACCACATCAGTGTTTAAAAAAAGGAAGCCACACATGAAAGCAAAGAGATCTCCGGGGGAAGGGCAGCGGGGTGGGGGAATAGCAGCAGGGTTAAAAAGGTTCAGCTCAACAGCCCCCATCACAAGTGCATGTTTTCAAAATGTGCTGCAAGGATGACTTAATGCACATGCTTCTTGGACTATTGTGAGGTCAGCTAAGGCCAGGCCATCACCATCGTTACACAGTGAAGCAGTTCTTAAATACGGAATCAAATTTCTATGAATTAAATATGAGGTTTTTAAGACTATCTGAAAAAAAAGTTGTTGTTTTTTTTTTAAAGAGAAAAAATAACTCAGTACCTGAAGGACGGCTTCCTTAGTATAAAAAACTAAATTTGCCGACTTGGTTGTCATCCACCTCAGAGATGGCTAAGATGAAAGCAGGAGAGGAATACCTATAGGGAGAGAAAAGGCCATGGCAGCAATGTGCCATTCTGGTGGTGCCCCAGGAGTTAAGCCATGGCAGCCGTCTCAGCAAGGGCAGGGGCATCCATAGGAAGAGCAGGTGCAGGTTTCATACAAAACTTGGAATTTCCACCTGGAGACTGTGCAGACTCTGTAGTCCCTTCGCTCCTTCCTGCACTCTCCCTGAACTTGTTCTCTCTGCTGTTGGGTGGGGTGATAGTCCCTGAGCACTTGACATTCTTTCCTTTCACTGCTCTCTCTCGTTTGTCCACTTATCTTCATGACCACACCTGTTCAGCATCCATCTCTGATCTCCTCCTTTGAGCACGCCCTAAATACTGTCCAAATCCTTGCCCTTTCTTCTGCTTGGTAAGAATCATCTAACCTCTTACTGGCAGCCACATTCTCTCAATGGGACACAGTCCTCTGCCTCCACTCTTGAAAAATCGTGCCGGATATTCTGATCTCTAGGAAGCTTTCTTCTTCATCTGAAAATGGAGAGAACACCTGTCTCGTAGGTTATGCAAGCATGAAGTGGGATCCTATACTTGAAGGAGCTTTTGAAGTGTTAAGCACCTGTGCTCGTGGTTGGTAAATGCTATTGCTATAATGCTACTGAAGAGTGGCAAATTTAGGGACTGAACACACAAGCAGTAAACGTGAACTCAAAATTCCAGTTTTTTTTGTTGTTGTTGTTTTTTTTTTTTTTTTTGGTTGCAGCAGTCTGCCCCTGCCCTCCAACCCTCCCCTTAGTTTGCAACATTTCTGACTCATCTCTGGGAGGACCAATCACTGCTTGGCCAGCACACAGGGCTCTGTGCTGATTTGTAGATGGGCCTGGACAGAAGCGTATCCCATTTTCACAACCATATGTGACCCAAGGCCAGAGGCTTTTGAAGAGCTGGAGAACTACTTGCTTTGGGATGTTTTTGTGCCAGTGGGAGTTCCTAAGGTGGCCTTGGCTTCTTGCCTTGGCTGTTGTGAGAGCTCTCTGTCATCCTGCTTTAGGTGTAGCCTGGGCGACAGAACAGAACACAGGAGAGCATTCCTCCTAAGTTGCAGGTGATAATATCTGAAACACCGCCCATCACTGGAATGACAGGGGTGGCAGGGATGCGGTGTGTAACACACATAGGACTCACCGGTAGAAGTCAGGTGTGTAACACATAGTGCTGTCTCATCCCCAACACATCATTAAGACTTCCTATCTCCAAATTCCAATTGTGTCCAGTTCAAGAATCCAAAGAACTGAATTCGCTCCGCCTTTCTCTTTCATCCCAGACCATGCTCCAAGGAGTCTCCCTGGGAGGAAGGGGGCAGAGAAGGAGAGAAGGGGGCAAGAAGTTTTTCTTTCCCACACCATGTAGTGTAACAGTCCTGGTCACCATGAGCAGCTTGGTGATCTGCTACCAGTAAAGGAGCTTCCTTTTAAGTGGGGGCTGAACCCACAGAGAAAGAGATAGAGGTTTCACTGGTTTGAGTTGGTTTCTGTTAAAAGCCAGAGAAACAGCCTGACCCAAATCTTGGCTTATAGCACCAAGAAAACAGCTGCTAAAAAAATGTAAGTGAAAAAGAAAGGAAAAAAAAAAAGAAAATGTGATTATTTAAAAAGATAAGTTCATTTAGTTTTATTTAAAAAGTGGTGCAACCAAGAAAGTGAAAGTGAGAATGAGAGAAAGAATTTCAATCTGCTGGTTTACTCCCACAAATACTTAAAGCAGCAAGATCTGAGGCTGGCTCCATGGGTCAACAGGCTAATCTTCTACCTGCAAGTGCTTGGATCCCATATGGCCATCAGATCATGTCCTGGCTGCCCCATTTCCGATCCAGCCCCCTGCTTGTGGCCTAGAAAAGCAACAGAGGATGGCCCAGGTCCTTGGGCACTAGCACCCACATGGGAAACCCAGAGGAGGTGCCTGACTTAGGATCAGCTCAGCTCTAGCCATTGTGCTCGTTTGGCAAATGAATTAGCAGATGGAAGATCATTCTCTCAATCTCTCCTCTCTGTAAATTTCCCTTTCAAATAAAAAGAAAAAACATCTTTAAAAAGAAAGAGGGAAGAAAGAAAAGAAAAAAGGGAGGAAGGAAGGAAGGAAGGAAGGAAGGAAGGAAGGAAAGAAGGAAAGAAGAGTGAAAGAGCAGGCATGTGGTCTCACCAAAGCCAGGAGCTCAGAAGTTCATCTGGGTCTTTCATGTGGATGGCAAAGACCTTAAGTACTTGAGTCTTCACCTTCTGCCTCCCAGTGTACGTATAAGCAAGAGCGGGATCCAAAGCAGAGCCGCAAAGCCAGGACTTGGTCTCAGGCACTTCAATATGGGTTGCAGGCCTCCCAAGTGTGTGTGGGGGGGTGAGGTTGGGGGTGCGTAACCGCTGTGCCAAACACCTGCCCCAACAGAAAGGACTTCTTGCTAGGCCCCAGGCGGAAGTGAGAAAACAACTTTGGAGGTTTCAGCCTTGTTCTTCTTCCCCTTCCGGCCCAGCCCTAACCCTTTCCTGCCTGGAAGTTAACCTGTTCTACTTAGAAGACTGTTTCGCCTGGCAATTTCATCCAAGCTGAGCTCTCCCAACAGTTGTTTAGCTTCTCAGTTAGTCTGTGTTTGCAAATTCAATTATCCCCTTTGTTCACTTTTACTTTATTTTTGCATAATACTATTTTTTATTCAGGCTTTTTTTTTTTCACTTCTTACATGAAAAAGAAAAGAACTAGCTACATAGTAGTAGAATATAAGAGAGAATTTTCTAAGGCAATGGTCCTGGGGTACCCAATGGGGATAGAACTAGTCTCCCACTTGTTATGTATGCTATCATTATGTTCATTATTCTCACACTGACCCTCTCAAGTCTCACCTGTCTACGTGACCACTGTCTTCCAGCATGGAGGTTAAAAGGATGGGTGGTGATTGGTCTACCTTATCCTGGTGTGATACGGATGCGAATGCAACAGGCCTCAGATACAAATGGAACTCTCCAAAACCCATTTCCTGTGCCAACTCCTTATAGAGCCTAAAAGAAAAGAACCAAGGACACTTATTAGTGTTTTTAATCCTGAAAGAAAAATAAATGGGCAAAAAACTAAGACACCTGAATAAGCCCCAAAAGAGCAAAGGTCAAGCATGAGCAAGCCATGAAGGTCATGTAATCTGCTCTGGCTAGGAGGGCTGCAGAGCTGGAGCCGAAGTCAGACTCAGGTGCTTCTGGCTTTGGTCCCCAGAGGCCTCCTGGGTGCTGTCCTCAGTACTGTGCCCATCACCTTTCAGAGCCTTTTGCAGCTGGCCTCTTTGTTTCCCCAAACAGCATCTTGTCCTGCAGGACCCAGGATCTCTATCCTGTTGCCTCAGTTCTTCCTCCTGCCTTTATAATTCAGGTGCTTCCTGAGGTCCTAAACCTAGTGGTCTTCTCATCTACTGGAGACCTTCTTGGAGGGTTTATCTGACCTAAACCAACATTCCTCGAATGCCTAGAGTCGCTCAGGGCCCATATCAGGCAAACGAACATAAACAACATGAATAGGGCTTTGGCATTCATGGAGCTTCATGCTAGCAGAATAACTTAATATTAAGCAAATGGCCCAAGTTCTTAGACCTCTGCTACCCATATGTGAGACCTGGCTAGAGCCCCAGGCTCCATAGCTTCAGTCTGGCCCAGCCTTGACCATTGTGAACATTTAGAAAGTAAACTAATTAAGCCCCTCGTTGTCTCTGTAACTCTGCCTTTCAAATAAATAAATAGATCTAAAGTAATATTAAGCATCCAATTAAAAATAAATATGCTAAATGGAGTGAAAAGTCCAGATGCCTATAAGAGGATCTAGCCAGATTGAGTGATCAGGATACATGGTTGGGATGGGGGGAGGATGCTCAGAAGAAGGAAAACCCATTCAGAAAATTCATTTTCTCCCAATACAAACTTTACAGATCAAGAGAGGATAAAACGCTATATTCAAAACCCTGAGAAAGAAAAAATTTGCCAGTCAAGAATATTATACCCAACAAAGGTGTCTTTCAGACATGAAGGAAAAGTAATGATTGGCCACCACAAGCAAAACAGGGAATTCATCACTACCTGGCCAGTCCTATAGGAGATGCATAAGGGAGTGAAAAGTTATGACTACCACTGTGAAAGCATGTGAACACACAAAACTCAACAGCAGAACAGATACACGGATGAGAAACAGAAGAACATGAAACCATGTCGACACAGAAAACCAGCAAGACACAAAGATGAGAAACGAGACAGGAAGAAACAGGACATACGAAATGACAACATAGCTAGACCATATAGTATGCCTATGCATTTTTCATTCATTTTCTCCTTTTCTCTCTGGCTGCCAAACAAAAATTATAAAAAGGAATACGATTTAAAGAAATAAAATCAGAGATAACAAAGAAAACATTACAACTGATACCATAAAAACATAGAAAGTCATTAGAGAAGGTGATGAACAACTTTACACCGAAAATTTGGAAACTCCAGAGAAATGGATTCATTCTGGACACAAATAACCTGCTGCAAATTGAAAATGAACCTTTGAGGCACAGAAAACCCAAACAGACCAGTAACAAGTAACAAGCTTAAATTAGTAATAAAAAGAACCAAATGGAAACACTGCTGACTCTTCCCAGATCTTGAAAGAGCTAATGCTAATTTTCCTGAAACCATTCCCAAGTATTTAAAGGGTAGAAATCATTCCAGGCTCATGCTATGAGACTAGCATTACGCTGATTGCAAATCAGACAAAAACCCAACAAAGAAAACTCTAGACTAAAATCCTGAATGAATACAATTGTAACAATTCTCAAGAAAACACTAGCAAGTGAAATTTGTTAACACAAAAAGATTATATGTCATAATCAAGTGCAAATTATTCTAGGGAAATGGAAATTGTTCAATATATGTAAATAGATAAATATAATACACAACCAAAACAGGATGGTTTAAAAAAAACATGGTTACCTCAATAGATGGAGAAGTATTCAATAAGATTCAATATCTATTCAGGACAGATATCCTAAAATATTAGGTATAGAGGAAGACACCTAAAAACAGCAGGTATTATGAGAAATCCACAATGTACATCATACACTATGTGGAAAAGCCTCAATCATTCCCTCCAAGAACAAGACAAATAAGTCTACTTTCAATGTTGTATTAAATACAGCATTAGAAATTTTAGCTAGAATAGTAAGATTTTTTAGAAAGAACATTCAAATAGGAAAGGGGGCCAAATTTAGAAATAAACCTATGTGTTTTCAGCAAGCAAGAGAATATGTTAAGAAAGTCTCTTTAAAATGGTGCTGAGAAAACTGTATATTCACAGAGAAAAAAAAATCCAACTGGACCCCTATCTGTCATCATGAACCCAAATTAGCACAATCTAAATCAAAGACTTTAACGTAAGACCCCCCAAAACTATAAATCTACTTGAATGAAACAGAGAAAATGCTTTTGGAGATTACACCGGGGATAAATAATTTTTTTCCATACAATTCCAAAAACACAGGTAACAAAATCAAAAACTGACAAATGGAATTAACATCAAACTAGAAAGCTTTTGTATATCACAAGAGACAGAAAAGTAAAGACAAACTATACAATGGGAGACAATATTTGCAAACTATTCATCCAACAAGGGTTTCATATCTGAAATATGTAATGCACTCAACAGAAAAGCCAATGATAATTTAAAAATGGGTGAACTTGGACTCGCCTGCAAGGTGGAATGGACACATGCCCTGTTGTAAAAGGAGAATATGGCAGCACATTTTTTGCTGTATCAGAAGAACAGAACAAACTGCACAACTATCCCAAACGATAACAGCAAAAAATCTTTATGAATGGAAACAATGGATGTTGGGAGGATGACATTATCCTTGGATCAGTAAAACTGGCAGCATTTCAGAACTATCCAAATACTTGGGCAGAATTCAGAATATGTACACTTTGAGACTCTGGGTTGATAGGAGGTGGCAGTTCCTCATCCTTGGGTACTGGGATGTGTAGAAAGGCATGAGTGGTTTTCCCCTTTGTCTCTCTCCTTCCCCCAGGAACAACAAGAAATAGCAAATTTGGAAGCAATGAGTTCACCAAATTTCCCCTATACCTCAATCCTTCCCACCCTGATCAATCTTATAATCATTATTAAAAAACAAAATTTACAATTAAAAAATGGGTTAAGGACCTAAATAGACATTTTTCTAAAGAGGATATGCACATGGCCACATGAAAAAATATCCAGCATTTCTAATCGTCAGGGGACATCCAGAAGGGGACATCATCTATCTATAGTTAGAATGGGAATTATACAAATGATCAAAGATGAATGCTGGGCAGGATGTAGATGAAGAAAAAGGAAACTTTCATAGTCTTGTTGCAAATAAAGATTAGTACATTACAAAGTTAACCATCATAGAAAAAGAAACAATAAAATAATGGATCAGCTGTTGTAGGAAATAATATGAAGTTTGTACAAGAAGCTAGAAGTAGAACTACCATATAAGACAGGCATTTAGAGCCACTGCTAAGATGATGCTTGGAATACCCACATCCCATATCAGAGGTCTGGGTTCAAGCCCCAGCTCCACTTCCAATTCTGGGTTTCTATTATTATGCACCCTGGAAAGCATTAGGTGATGAGTCAAATACTTGGGTCTCAGTCACCCACACAGGAGACCTAGACTGAATTCCAGGCTTTTAGCTTCAGCCTTGCCCAGCTCAAGATATTGTGGGCATTTGGGGAGTGACCAAGTTACAGAAATTTCTGACATGATCTTTTTGATGTTCAAATACATAAAATAAACACATTAAAATGTAAAAAAAAAAAAAAAAAAAAAAAGAGGGGGAATATCTTTTGGGCCTACTGCAATGGTTCAGTTGGCTAAATTCTCACCTTGCAAGTGCCGGGATCTCATATGGGCACCAGTTTGTGTCCCAGGTGCTCCAGTTCCCATTCAGCTCCCTATTTGTAGCCTGGGAAAGCAGTAGAGGACAGCTCAAAGTCTTGGGATCCTACACCCACAAGGGAGATCCAGAGAAAGCTCCTGGTTCCTGACTTCTGAATAGCTCAGCTCTGGCCATTGTAGCCATTTGGAGAGTGAACCAGTAGATAAAAAGCTCTTTTTCTCTGTCTCTCCTTTTCTCTGTAAATCTGACCCACCTTTACAAAAGTGGGTTATCTTTCAAAATCCAAAACTACCATATGATCCAGCGATCCCACTTCTGGACACATATTTAGAGGAATTGAAACAGTATTTCAAAGAGACATCTGCACTTGCACGTTTACTGCGACACTATTCACAGTAGCCAAAACATGGAATCAACTGAAGAGTCCTTTGCCAGATGAATAGACACAGAAAAATGTGGTTTTTATTCCCAATGCAATATCATGCATCCAGAAAAAAAGAATGAAACCATCATTTGCAGCAGTCCAGGCTAGGACTGGATATTATGTTATGTTAAGGCAAACAAACCAGACACAGAAAGACAAACACCGCATGTTCTCACTTATATGCAGAAGCTAAAATGTTGATCTCAAAAAAATAGAGTAGATGAGTGATTAAAGATGCTGGGAAGGGGCTGGGGATGGGCAGAAGATGGTTAACAGGTATAGCTGGATGGGAAGAGTAACTCCTAATGTCCCAGAGCCCAGAAGGATATTTATGGTAGATGGAGATTCACTGAATATTATCAAATAGCTGTAAGAGAATTTTGAATATTTCCAACATACAAAACATACGTTTAGGGCATCAGACATGCCAATGACCCTCACTGGGTTATTATACACTGAATACGGTATTGAAACATCACTGTACCCATTAATACATGCAATCTCTATGTACCAAACTATAAATAAGTAAACAATTCACTCTCCTTGCTCTGGGGCAGCAAGGAAAGGGGTTTGCAGGCAGTGAGTTCCATGCTCTATAATTCCTCATACCTTACCAAACAGCTTCTGCTACCGCACAGGGCATCCCCACAGGGCCCCAGGACTGACCTAGCTAAGTGCGCACTTGCCATGCTCATCTCAATCAACCGGTGGCGGAGGGTCAGGAGTTCCAACAGTCTGGCGAACATGTCCAGTAGCAGCCCAGAAGCCCCTTGCCCTTGAACATGTTCCTCTGCTACTGCTGCAGACTGCAGGGCCAGCAGGCCTATCTCTTCCACCAGCCGGGGGTCGTCCATCACGTTAGCCAAAAACAGCTGGAAGAACACATACTCTTGAACACCAAAAAGACAAAATTTTGCATGTTGAAAACAAGTACCTTTGCTGGCACAGACTCTGGATCCAGAATGCCTGAGCTCACTTTCTAGCTCTGCCACTTACGTGCTGTGAGATTTGGGGCAATGTACTCAATAGAATGATTTTTCAGTTTCTTCATCTAAAAAGAAGGTATCGCAATAATCATCACATCTACTAAAGATTCATAGACAAGCTTTACCCATGCAGGGTGTGAAGATGGTTCCGTGCCCTAGTGTGGTGGCCTAATCGCTAAAGTCCTCACCTTTAACTCGCTGGGATCCCATATGGGCACCAGTTCATGTCCTGGCAGCCCCACTTCCCATTCAGCTTCCTGCTTGTGGCCTGGGAGAGCAGTCGAGGACGGCTTGGGACCCTGCACCCATGTGGGAGACCAGAAAGAAGCTCCTGACTCTTGGCTTCAGAAAGGCACAGCTCCAGCCACTGCTGTCACTTGGGGTGTGAAATATTGGAGATCTTCCTGTCTCTCCTCCTCTCTGTATACTCAACTTTACAATAAAAATAAAATCTTGAAAAAAAAAAAAAAAGAGTACCATGAGTAATCGACATCCTTGTTGATATTGTTGTTACAGAGTTTAAAAGAACAAGAGACATGACCAAAGCAACCTAAATAAAAATGGACATCCCAGACTTGAGGAAGTATTTTGCTGTTTGTTTTTTAAAAATGTATTTATTTTTTATTAGAAAGGCAGACTTAGAGAGAGAAGGAGAGACAGAGAAAGATCTTCCATCCAGGGTTTACTCCCTAACTAATGGCCAATCTGAAGCCAGCAGCTTTCTCCGGGTCTCCTACATGAATGCACAGGGTTCCAAGAATCTGGGCCAGCCTCTATGGTTTTCCCAGGCCATGAGCAGAGAGTTGGATCAGAAGATAGCTGCTGGAACACAATCATGTATAGGTTACTGGCATTTGAAGGCAGAGAATTAGCCTGTTGAGCCACAGTACCAGCTACTTGGGAAGTATTTTGGTAGCCAACAGCAACAACATTTTTTTTTTTTAATCAACCTCTCTAATTGTAGTTTCAAAAAGTCCAAGTCTTCACATCTATGAACTCTGTTTAGCTGCCATTATAGAAACCATTTACCCGTACTTAGCAAGGCGGAGTCTGACTCAACACAGAACCCTCCTGGGAATATATGTGACAGTGTCAGGTTCCCTAACCCCAGGTTCAGAAGTGACATGGCACCTCACACTGCCATCACAGCATGGCCTCACTCTGCACTCTGGACTGGCAGACTTGGGACATGACCACATGTCCTTTAACGGCTTGTTGGGACCTTAACAGGCTACCTTCAGTAGGAACCCCATCTGCTTGCCTGTTCCGATTTTCTCTCAAGGTGGGACAAGCCTTCATCACCCCATTTCTCCATCTGAGTACTAGCCAGGCTAGACCCTGATTAGTTTCACCATCCATTTCTTAACCAAAGAACCTGCCTACTCAAAGATACAATGTCTTTTTTTTTTTTTAAAGATTTATTTGTATTGGAAAGTCAGACATACAGAGGAGAGAGATAGAGAGGAAGATAGGGAATGAATCAACACACAGACTAAGTGGCCACAACAGTCAGAGCTAAGTTGATCTGAAGCTAGGAGCCAGGATCCAGAAGCTTCTTCTGGGTCACCCACACAGGTATAGGATCCCAAGGCTTTGGGGTGTCCTTGACTGCTTTCCTAGGCAACAGGCAGGGTACTGGATGCGAAGTGGGACTGCCTGGATTAGAACTGGTGCCAATATGGGATTCCATGGCACCAGCCCCACAAAGATGCAATTTCTAGACTCCCACCATCTTCAGAGTGGTGGCCCATAAGCACTATGTAATGAATTCCTGACAGCCAACTGAGCACAGCACCTGCTCGTTCTCTGTCCTAAAGCAAAATTTTGGCCACTTACTTGTTTCCAGGTCCAAATCAACACACATTTCAAAACTAACTAACACTGTGTGGCATCAATGATAGATTAAACAGGTATCCCTGAGATTCACCATAAATACCTAAGACAACTTGAAATATGTTTGCAAAATGTGGTACCATAAGACAAGAAAAAAAAATCAATTTTGACTTCTATCTCCCATACATTACTCATATATGTACAAACACACCATTCCAGGGAAATAATGAGAGTTAAATATTTAAATATAAAACCAAACTCCTCTTAAAACATTAGAATAGAATGAGATGATTATATCTGGGGAAGACTTTCCATTTGAAGTTAGGATAGAATTTAGACAGTGACCAAAGACAGATTATATAATAGCACAAAATCTCTGTTAAAAATCAGACAAAGGGGTGGCGTGGGGAGTACAAGCAGAAAGCAAGATAGACAAGCAGGTTAAAGTCACTATTTAAGAAAAACTCACGTAAGTAGATATGAATAAGGTTAGGATTTACCAATATACAAAAGAAAACAAGGAAAAAAAAAGTCAGAAACCATGAGCAAATAACAGGATATCTGAGAGAATTTTTTTTCTCAGTAAATAGCAAAAAAAGTAATTGGTAAATTCACAGTGTAAGACCACCCTGTAGTCCGTGAGTGCACCAGCACGTGTGAGATCCACTTTCCCCAGTTTTGCATGAAGCACACTGACATAGCTGGCGTTAGAAGTTGGCACAACTCCTTTGGAAAGCAATCTGCCAGTATGCTTCCAAAAGATTTCAATTTCACTTTAGTCATTCTGGCTTCCAAGAACCTACCAAAAGGAATCAATCCAAAATATAGGAAAATATTCTGTAAGGCATCAAGAGGTAGCTTACAGCATTTTAAATAATACAGCAAAAACTTGAAACTACTTCGATGCTCATCAAAAGGAAAATGGTTAGAGAAGTAATGATTCATCCTGCAAGGGAATTATGTCATAGCAGTACATTTAAAGATTTGTGAGTAATAAAAAATACATGATATTAACACTAAATGGATAAAAATTGAAGATAACAGTATATTAAGGATGAAATCAGAACCATGTAAAAATTGCCTATGGATAATACTTGAATTCAGCAAAAGGATGATCATGAAGACCTGAGTGGTTATACTCAGATTAAGCTATTTTCTTTCCTCTCTCATTCTCTGTAATTTTATATCATTTTCATCTACTTAAAATCTATCTGAAATAAGACAGAATTTGGGTTTGGGTAGGACAGAGTAGGAGGCTGGAGCAGACCCATAGAGCAGATGTCTCTGACAACGGCAACCTCTGAAAGTGACCTCAACCCACAGCAAACGCTACTGCAGAGCTAGGTCCTTGGGAAATGCAGGCTCAACCTTCCCAGTCACCCGGGACAAAGAAAGGGATTCAAATTCAATTGCAGACACTACTGAAACCCCATTCACTTGAACCAGTTTGAACCATCAGACCTGAAAGAGGCTGCAGAGTTCACCTCCCCACTTGCCCCCAGAGACACAAACACAATTTTACAATAAAAGCAAAGAGACTAAGACACTTGCCCAGAGTCACCCAGCATGCCCATGGCAGCCCTGAACTTGAGCCCTTCCATGACTCTTCCCTCAGCTTTTCCTGCCCTCCATAAGATCTTGACTCAAGACTAAAGAGAAACAGCAAATTTTCCGAAGAGTCTTAGCACAAAGAAAAGGTCTTGTTGTTCATTTAAAAGGGACACTATTAACATTTACATCAATAATGATCCAGGAAAAAAAAAACTGTCTCCAAACTTACATCCCACTGTCCATCTTCACTGTAGCAACAGGAATATTGACCCAAGGCGAGGAGAGGAGGAGCAGAACTCACATAAAAACCCTGGCAAAGCCCGAGACGATGAATCCTCCCTGGCCAGAGAGAGAAACAGAGCCAAACAGAAAGCAGAGCTAAATAGTAACATCTGGAGGAAAGCGCCCTTTCTGACAAAGACCCACCGAGAAAGAACTTACATCTGTCTGGAGTCGTGCACTGTACCAAGTCTCAGGCTGGGCTGGGGAGAGGCACAGGTCCAGTGCCAGCCGCAGGATGCATTGCTCCAGCAGGGCCAGGCTGCTGGCTGATGGGGGTCCACAGGCACGATGGGCCTCCAGGAGGAGCTGGTCCAGGGCTTTGGGGATGCGTGTGACCAGGCCAAGGGAAGGGTGGAACTCCAGCAGGTAAATGTTTTGCAAACCTGGGCTTAGAAGAAGAGGAACCACAAATGAGTCTCACACGAGGAAGATTTGAATTTGGTCTAAAGATAATTTCAGATTTGTCAAGACCAGTGAAACAGTTCCTCTAGGTCAAGAGCATTAGAAAAAGCTGGCATCCTCAAAGGACCTGATAAGCGATGCAGGGAACCCTCGGGTTTATACACATTCTGTACATATTGTTTGCTTTCATTTGAATCCTTTTAAAACTGAAAGACACACAGGCTTGTAGTTTTATAATCCAGTGACATGCTGGGCCTAACTCTCGACTCTAGCTCTTTAAAAAAAAAATCCCCTTTATTTGAAAGGCAGAGTTTCTGGGAAAGAGAGAGAGAAAGAAAGATCTTTCATCTGTTGATTCACTACCCAAATGGCCACAAGGGGTTATGCTGGAACTGGCCAAAGCCAGGAACCTCTTCTGGGTCTCCCCACATTTGTGCAAGGGGCGCAAGTACTTGAACTATCCTCCATTGCTTTCCTAGGCTATAAGCAGGGAGCTGGATAGAAAGTGGAGCAGCTGGGAATCTAACCAGCACCCATATGGGATGCTGGTGCCACAGGTGGTGTCTTTACCCTCCATGCCAGAGTGCCAGCCCATTGACTCTAGCTCTTACCTCCAGCTTCCTACCAAGGCACACTAACAGGTCAGAGCGATGGCTCGGGTGGTTGGGCTCCTGCCACCCATGTGGGAGAACTGGATTGAGTCACCAGCTGCCGGCTTCTATCCTGCCTAACCCTGACTATTGTAGGCATGTGGCAAGTGAATCAGCAAATAAGAGAGCTCTCTCTCTCTCCTTTGTTCTCTCAAATCAATAAAGAAACTTTGGAACATTTTCTTAAACCAAGAAAAGTAATATTAACATCACAGACAGCAATAAGGTCAACTTTCTAGTAACCAAAGTTGAATGTGGAATACATGGTGGTCTTTGTGTTACTTCATTTTCACTTTAAAATTTGAAACTCTTTGGCAATGAAAAGATTATTTAGATAACCAGCCAACTTCCCAAAACAAAGTAACTTAAAATAAGAAATAAACTGAACAACAAATAATTTCCATTGCTATTGAATTGTTTTTCACTTGAATCTATCTCCCTCCACCCCCACACATCTAAAGAAAAAGACAACTGGGAGCCAGCATGATGGCTCAAATTTGACTAATCCTTTGCTCTCAAGCACCAACATCCCATATAGATGCCAGTTCATGTCCTGGCTGCTTTTCTTCCCATCCAGTTCCCTGCTTATAGCCTGGGAAAGCTGTAGAGGATGGCCGAAGTCCTTGGGCCCCTGCACCCGTGTGCTCCTAGCTCCTGGTATCGGTTTGGTTCCGTTCCAGCCATTGCAGATAGAAGATCTTTTTCTGTTTCTCCTCTCTGCAAATCTGCCTTTCCAATAAAAACAAAGAAATATTTAAAAATAAAAAAGATGACGACAATATTTAGATTCTGTACATATCTAAGTTTGCTGTGAGACTGTTTTGTCTGTGTTATTGCCTGCCTGAGGCTCCAGATCCTAGCACACCTCCTGTTACATGTGGGTGTTCACCCAGTATGTGTTGGGTGTTGAAAAGAGCTGAACAATTTATCCACCCGTTTGGAAGCAATGGATGGTCATCTAGAGCAACACAGTGCAATCGGGCCTTGCCATTCGCTTGCCAGTTTCCTCTCTCCTCAGTGGCAGGAATGGGGGTGACAAAGGGTGTCACCTTTCTGAAATATAATCCTGCCCCTTTAAGGGGAGGCGGGTCACTAGATAAGTCTGCAGGTACCTTTTTAGTGATGCTTGCTAAAATAAGAATAATAATAAAAAGAAATTTGCTTATTTTATTTTTATTGGAAAGGTGGATATACAGAGAGGAGAGACAGAGAGGAAGATCTTCCGTCCGATGATTTACTCCCCAAGTGAGCGCAACGGACGACGCTATGCCGATCCAAAGCCAGGATCCAGGAACTTCTTTCCAGGTCCACGTGGGTGCAGGGTCCCAAAGCCTTGGGCCATCCTGGACTGCTTTCCCGGGCCACAGGCAGGGAGCTGGATGGGAAGTGGAGCTGCTGGGATAGAACCGGCGCCCATATGGGATCCTGGGCATGCAAGGTGAGGACCTTAACCACTGCGTCATCGCGCCAGGCCCAAAATAAGCAAATTTCTTCTTGAGAAACTTTCAAACACATATATATTCCATGTATAGGAGCCTTCAGAATGTTCACATATTATTATGTGGGCCAGCATAGTGGCTTACCAAGCTAATTCTCTACCTGCAAGCACCAGCACCTTATATGGGTGCCAGTTCAAATCCCAGCCTTTCCACTTCAAATCCAGCTCTCTTTTTCTGGCTTGGGAAAACAATGGAGGATGGCCCAAAGCCTTGGGACCTTGTACCCAAAATGTGGGAGACCCAGAAGACGTTCCTGGCTTTGGATTGGCCTGGCTCCAGCCCTTATGGTCATTTGGGGAGTGAAACCAGTAGTTGGAAACTCGTTCTCTCTGTAAGTCTACCTTTGTAATAAAAATAAATCTTTTAGAAAAAAATTGTGTATTATGAGAAAAAGTATGGATTTCAATGTTTTGTGGACTAAAATAAGGTCACTATTTAATTCTATTTTTAAAACATTTTTAAAATCTTACTTATCTTTTTTTATTTGAAAAGTACACACACACACACACACACACACACACACACACACACACACACACACACACATCTTTATTTTTATGGTCATTTCTCAAGTGCCCATAAACAGCCAGGGCTGAGCCAGGCCAAAGTCAGGAGCCTGGAGCTTAGTCTAGGTCTGCAGATGGGAGACCAACTCATTGAGCCATCATCTGCTACTTCCCGGAGTGTGCATCAACAAGAAGCTGGAACTGGAAGCGGAGCTGAGACTTGAACCTTGGCACTGTGATGCAGGAGGTGAGTGTGCCATGGGGTACCTTAACCCCCATGACAAATGTCTGCCCCACCACCATTTTTCCTATAACCTGTTTGAAGATCCATCATATGGGGGCTTGTGTGGTCTCTCTGATTGAAACCCCTGATGATGCTTTAAGAGCATCTGCTTTTTTCCCCCCAGAGCTTTCCAAGGGAGTGAAAATTTGCACATAGTGGCACAAATTTAAATCCTAGCTTCCCAATCTTTTTTTTTACTTACAAAACATTTCCCCAGATACTTTTAAAGATGCTGGAGTCAAATTTATGTTGTTGCTTTCTTTTTTTAAGAATATTAGTTTATGTGGAAGGCAGTGTTACAGGGAGAAGTAGAGAAAGAGCTATTCTTTGGCTGGTCCACACCCCAAAAAGCCACAGCAGCCAGGATTGGGCCATGCTGAGCTTCATCCAGGTCCCCACATGGGTACAGAGTCCCAAGGCTATGGGCCATCTGCTGCTGCTTTCCCAGGCACATTAGCTGGGAACTGGACGGTAAGTGGAGTAGCCAGGACTCTAACCAGCACCTAAAGGAGATGCCATCATCACAGGTGGTGGCTTAATCTGGACGCCACAACCAGACCCTAAAATCCTATTTAGATTGAACACTGCACCCTCAAATTATTCTATCTAGAAGGAAAAAGGTAAAACATTTAAGGTAACACCAACTTACCAGCTCTTGTTGATGGAAATCAGTTGCTCGCAAATGATGCTGAGGGGAAGGCCGAACTTGTTCTTATCATCCAGACGATCTTCTTGCCAAAGGCTCTGGACATACTCGCGCTGATGCTCTATCTAGAAATGTAGCAGAAGCATCAACATGAGAAACAAGTCCAGGTTTCCCAGGGATGTGACTAATGAGGCTTGACACAAGAAGGCTATCTCCCTCTGCGTGTCTACATCAGACACTGCTTGGAAGGTCACATGCCATACACCTGCTGGACTCTAGTCTGAGCTCATGGTCAGCTGGAAGAAGCAACAGCAACCAATGTAGAGAGCTAAAGAAAATGGTTTTCTGTAACAGAATTCACTGAAAAAAATTCTTAGCAGCTTGTAATATCCTTTGTCTCCTGTTTGCTACCCATCACTGCCATTTTTTTTAGATTTATTTATTTATTGGAGAGTCAGATATACAGAGAGGAGGAGAGACAGAGAGGAAAATCTTCCATCGGATGACTCACTCCCCAAGTGAGCGCAACAGACGATGGTATGCCGATCCAAAGCCAGGATCCAGGAACTTCTTTCCAGGTCTCCCACACGGGTGCAGGGTCCCAAAGCTTTGTGCCATCCTTGACTGCTTTCCCAGGCCACAAGCAGGGAGCAGAATGGGAAGTGGAGCTGCCGGGATTAGAACCGGTGCCCATATGGAATCCCGGCACATTCAAGGTGAGGACTTTAGCCACTAGGCCACACCGCCGGGCCCCATCACTGCCTTTTCTGTAGAGGACACCCAAGGGATCATTCCTTTCAAATTTGAAAAAAAAAAACTGTCTCACACACACATAAACACCTTAAAAATAAGCACCATTTTGGCCTGGTGCAATAAATTAATGGCTAAAGTCCTCACCTTGTATGCAGTGCAATCTCCTATGACACCAGGTTATATCCTGGCTGCTCCACTTCCCTTCCAGCTCCTGGTTATGACCTGAGAAAGCAGTCGAGGATGGCACAAAGCCTTGGGACCCTGCACCTGTGTGGGAGACCCTGAGGAAGTTTCTGGCTCCTGACTCAGCTCCTGCTGTTGTGGCCGCTTGGGAAGTGAATCAGCAGATGAAGATTCTCTCTCCCTCTCTCCCCTCTTTGAAAAAAAATCTGACTTTCCAATAAAAAAGTAAATCTTTAAAAAAAAAATAAGCACCATTTATAAGCACCATTTGTACAATAAGGTCTTGAAAAGATTTACCACTAGATTTTCTTCCACTACTGGAAAAGCTCTGTAACCTAATTTCCCAAGGTCCATTAACTAATTAGGGTTGTAAACCCTTCTTGAAGGGTGGAGTTTGTCTAGAATTTGACTATACAAATGAGCCTATATACAAACATGCTGTACCTGTTACCTGGAAAACAGATTCTGCAGCTGCCCTGGAAGGAGGGCTCTCTTCATTTCTGGGCTGTTTCCCAACCTTCTCACACACAGAAAACTGAAGACCCAACTGTACTTACGTGCTGGTTGAGCATGCCTGTCACAAGTTGCCGGTGAAGCCTCAGGCAGGTGCATTCATCCTGGTAGGCCTTAATGAAATACAGGTGGCCAAGATCAAACCTGGGGCGGCGATGCATAATGTCCGTCATCACTTGAGCTAAGGCAAACCTCTCTTCAGCGTCCAACGTGTGCTGGTAGGCTTCGAAGTAGCAAGCAAGAAGCTGCAAGTCAAGTGGATAGCCAGGGATGAGCAGAGGCAGCTCTGGGGTCCCACCAAGGAAGCCAGGGAGAACCCAGCCTTTGCTTTGGAAAGCTGAGGGATGGGGTGGGAGAGACACAGCTCTGGGTAGTGGCCCTGGTGCAGGCAAATGCACCAGCAGCAGCACCCCTGGTGGGTAGGAAACCCAAGACAAAACTGAGGGTGGGGTGGGCAAGAGAAAGATCCCAGCTGTTACAGGATGCGAGCGAGATCACACCAGACATGTCTAAGGTTTATTAAGGAGTCTTTATTAACCATGGTGATAACAGAGCATACTAGAAATAGAAGATCACATATGGCAATCCAACCAATCATAATCCAAAGGTCATTACCCTTAAGTCCATCCGTTAAGCTGAAGACCTATGTCCCAGCTTCCCCAACAATATAAGTTATCCTAAGAGATATACAATGAATAACCTGGACACACTTACAAAGCTGCAGACGTTCACCTTTCCTTGGCTTCTCTGCCCACATTCCACTACTGCTAGGCCTCACCTCTCCTGGAATTCCTGACAGTACACGAACCAGAAACAACACTACTATATCCATTGTCCCATCTAAGCAGTGCAAAGGGACCATGCTCAGGGAATTACCTGTCCTGGGTCAGCCAAAAGTCGAGGTGCTAGAGTAACGGAAACACCTGACCAGAAAGAGAGAGCCCCTGCTTCATGGGCCTTTTAAAGGGGCTTGTGAGGGGAGTGGAGCAAATACCTAAGGAGTTAATCAGCGCTCATTGGGATGGGCAGGAACAGAAACTGGGATTGTAGTTAAAAAGACTAATTGGACTCATCTGCGTCCAACATCCCGGCCGAATTAGGATGTGGGAGGGGAGAGGATACAAGGAGAGGTGAAGGAGCAGTCACTGACTGCAGTCCATAACACCAGCCTTGGAGCCAGAACAGCCACACTTTGGTCTGTTCACCCTTCCCCTACTCTCTCCCAACACGATGAGTGTTGTCTGATTAATAACACATGGCACCACAACTCTATGCCAATGGGGCAACACCTTCAAGGCCTTTCACCAAATATCTGTTGCTCCAATACCTTCCTCCAAGAACCCAGTCTCCCTTCTCCATTTCTTCCCATCACCAGAGAGAAGCAGCACCCAGCTCTCACATCCTCAGCCCCAGTTCTGACTGCTCTTTTCCAGAGTTTGCCCAAATTTCACCCTGTTGAGGGTGGCAATTTCTTCTTTATTCAAAGTGATATATCCCAGACCAGACTCCTGTGGGAAGGGCCTGGGGAACAAAATTCACCAAAGGGTCAAGTGTCAAAAACCCCAGAGGGCCTTCTGACTTAGTGGCACCTGCAAGCTTCCAGGCACTACCACTTGAAGGGTCCTCAGGTCGGAGCTGCCCCGTGTGGGAACGTCAAGTGTATACAATTGGCCAGCATCATCAGAAAAGGCTCTCCAAAGATTTGAACTTCAACTTCCAGAGTGACCATTCTAAACTGGGACTGTAGGGCAAGACAAACAGCTCTGATCCCCAGAGTTGCTATGTTGGGGTGGATTGAAGACAGTTCTAGCCCCTAGACACGCTGACTTTTGCAGATTACCCCTCCCATAGCCTGTCAAATCTATTGAAAGAACTAACAACTTATCTCTTTCTTGCAAAAATGACAAAAACGTTTTGCTTTTCTAAGTGTTTGGTCATGAGCAACACGTTGACTTCTAGATTGGATATGATGCTCAGGTGTGTTTTTGTAACTCCCTTGTGTGTTTCCACAGTGGGAAAATTTCCATCTATACATTGCTTTCCTGTGAAGTACAATGTCTTGAAGCACTCAGTCCAAGTGTTTATATTTTCTGGGTAAGTGGCTGAGGTCTATTATCATCTATTTGGTATTTCCGCATTTGGGAGTCATGGCTGTTTTGTTTTCAGATCTCAAAAGTAGCTGAAGAAGTGCCTAGGCCCTAAGTATCTGGGATGTAGTAACTGATAGATAAACATGTCCTGCCTGAAGCTGCTGAACTTTGATTTTTCTTGGTCTCACAACTAAATGAACCACTCCCTCTTCTGCTGATCTAACCCTACATATTCCCTGCCAGCTCCCTTTGCAGGATACTGGGCTGAAATGCTGAAGTTGCAATTCCAGTCTCCCTAAAGTGCTCTTGTTTCCTGGGAAGCTGGTCCCAGAGGCTCCAGGCCAGGAGGAAAGGCCCCTGCTCCACAAACGATGGGATTTCCTCGAAGAAGATAGGGAGCCCTTCACATTGTACGACCAATCCATTCTTAAGACAGTGGGCCAGGAAAAAAGTGCAAAGGAGGAAGTGTCACTTGAATAGAGGAACACAGCGACACAGGAAGCAGAGACAACAAGCATACATGATGTCTGTCCTTGGGAATTTGAGTTGCTTGCAACAGCAGACAGAAGCCCTGAGGGCCCGCTGGGCCCAAACCACCCAAATCAGCCAATCTTAACCTACGTCAAGTGACAGTTTAGTGACATCTGGGGATGACTTTTTGAAATATTTTTTCAGAAGACTTATTTGTTTTACTCGAAAGTTAGAGTTACAGAGAGGGTGGGGTAGAGACACAAAGAGAAAATTTCCATCTGCTGGTTCATTCCCCAAATGACCTCAATGGTCAGAGCTGAACTAGTTCAAAGCAGGGAGCCAGGAGCTTCTTCTGGGTCTCCCACGTGGGTGCAGGGTCCCAAGGACTTGTGATAGCCTCTACTGCTTTTCCAGGTCACAAAGAGGCAGCTGGATCAGGAAGTTTAGCAATCAGGACTTGATTAGGCACCCATATAGAATTCTGGTGCCACAAGCAGAGGATTAACTGACATGCTATGGCACTGGCACCCAGAATAATTTCTTTCTGGGCTTGACATGGTAACTTAGTGGCTAAAGTCCTCACCTTGCACACACTGGGATCCTATTTGGGTGCCAGTTCTAATCTTGGAGGCCCCACTTCCCATCCAGCTCCCTGCTTATGGCTTGGGAAGGCAGTAGAGGACGGCCCAAAGCCTTGGGAGTCTGTGCCCATATGGGAGACCTGGAAGAGGCTCCTGGCTCCCGGCTTCGGATCACCTCAGTTCCAGCTGTTGTGGCCATTTGGGGAGTGAATCAGTAGATGGAAGATCTTCCTCTCTGTCTCTCCTCCTCTCTGTATATCTGACTTTCCAATAAAAATAAATAAATCTTTATTAAAAAAAAAAGACTTGTTTCTTTTAAATGCAGAGTGAGTGGAAGAGAGGGAGAAACAGAAAGCCCTTGCAGTCACTGGTTCACCCCTCCCCCACAACGGCCAAAACAGCCAGAGCTGGACCAGGATGAGGCAGCAATCTGGAACTCCATCTTGGGCTCTCACATAGATACAGAGGCCTAAGTTCTTGGGTCTTCTTCTGCTGCAGGGAACTAGAAAGGAAACAGCAGCAAGGATTCAAACTGACACTCCAATATGGGAGGGCAGTGTTGCAGTTGGTATCTTAACTCACAGTACTACAATATTGGCCCTGGGAGGACAGCTCTTAATTTAATTACTGGACACAACTCTTACCCATGGAGACAGTACCAACCTGAGTCTGCATCACAAACTTTTATCCCTCCTGTTAAAATGGCATATAGGGCCCGGTGCAGTAGCCGAGTGGCTAAAGTTCTCACCTTGCACGCACCTGGATCCCATATGGGTACTGGTTCATGTCCCAGCTGTTCCACTTCCCTTCCAGCTTCATGCTTGTGCCTTGGGAAAGCAGTCGCGCACAGCCCAAAGTGTTGGGACCCTGCACCCACGTGGGAGATCCAGAAGAAGCTCTGGGCTCCTAGCTTCAGATTGGCACAGCTCCGGCCGTTGCAGTCACTTGGGGAGTGAATCATTGGATGGAAGATCTTTCTCTCTGTCTCTCTCCTCTCTGTATATCTGACTTTGCAATAAAAATAAATAAATATATATATATTTTAAAAAGATGGCATATAAACCTTTAGATAAAAGCACTTCCTCAGATGTTCATTCTTTTGCTATGAAGTCATCCATGTGCATTCATAATAAATCCTTTCCCCTACTAATCTGTCTTTTATCAGTTTAATTTCCAGGACCTGGAAATAGACTGAAGCTAAGAGTGTAGAAGAGAAAATATTTCCTTCTTCGATACGTGGGACTAAATAGCACCCAAAAGATCAAATACTACTTTATCAGTCATTAATTATTTATTATTGGTTATTTATTTGACAACCCAAAGCTAAGGCTCAGGAGGGGAGTGCCTAGGGGACTTTAGTTCCAGCTTTCTGGGATGACTTTTGGAGAACATTGGTTTAAACAAGCTTGGATCAACCATGGGATTAAAAGGAAAACTCCCAAGGAGGCTAAAACTGAGGTCTCAGAAGGTGCTCCACGGGTTAGGAACCCACAAATCCCAAACATGAAGAAGGAAAGTGGGGAGCCCCCTGTCTCGAAGGAAACAAGGCACTGTAACTTGCCTTGTTCCACCTGCCAAGCTCTTGAATCAAATCCAACGATTAAGCAGCAGAAGACCAATCAGAAACAAAGCAGGATGAATGGATGGGATGAGAAGCAGCTCCAGGGGGAGATTAGCAAAGCAACAATTACTTTCCTGATGTGTTCTGGACTAACTTGAATGTTTTTGGCTGGGAAGGAGCAATCCCAGAATCTGGCTTAAGAACATTTATAGGTCCTTGACCTCTTTTTCTGTACAAAGAGCCCAGTTGTTTGGGTCTTTGGCAGGGGAGTTCTGAGGAAGTAGGAGAGGAAGGTTCTTGCAGGTTCTGGTCTGCCCTGTTACATTGCCATTCTCGCTTTTGTGGACAGCTGCCTGAACAAATGGAAGTGCAGGACATGTGACCAAATTAGAGTCTCAGGAAAATAGAAACTTTTGTTTTTGGTTAAGTTATGTGCCAAACACTGCCATAATTTGCCTGGCAAGCTACTGCCTTCTGCAGCAAGTGAAGCTTTCTCGGACTTTGGGCTCCACCCCTGAGCAGTTCTCGGTTGGGTGCTTGCCTAATTTCACCATGAATTCTCTGTCAGCCTTGGCCGGGTCCTGGTCTTTGCTATTTTCTGGGTTTCATTTATTATCTGTTTGCTCACTGGCCCATTTCCACTTAACCTCCAGGCTGCTGTTCTTCTGAGATGTCTATGTCACCTGTGTGTGTCAAGTGGACATGGGGTACACACTTTTGGAAGGATCAAATATTGGCAACACACAAAAAAAACAGATCAAAGGAATAGTGTCAAACTCTGATGTGCTCATATTACTTTTACCACAATCCTTATGCACTCCTACTCTGGGACTTAAAAAAAAACCAATTGGAAATAGCTATTTAGGGGCTAACCACATGGCACAGCACATTAAGCCTCTGCCTGTGGCACTTGCATCCCATATGGGCACTGGTTTGAATCTCAGTTGCTCCACTTCCAATCCAGTTCCCTGCTAATGTGCCTGGGACAGCAACAGAGAATGGTCAAGTCTTTGGGCCCCCTGCACCCATGTGGGAGACCAGGAAGAAGTTCCTGGCTTCTGGCTCTGTATTGGCTCAGCTCCATCTGGGGAGTGAACCTGGGGATGGAAGATCTCTATATCTGTCTCTCTTTCTCTTTGTGTGTAACTCTTTCAAATAAAAATAAGTCTTTAAAAAATAGCATTTTTGGTCAAATAAGTGCTAAACAGAAAAATCAATGCAAAGTACAACCTGTCACCACACACACACACACACACACTTTCCAAAGCAATGCACACGAAAGTCTTTTCATTGTCACATAGACTGATTCAGATTGCCCCATAAATGTATCTTTGGTGGCTGTGAGCAGAACTGGCAAATAAAATAGTGGTCATTTAACAGAGGTTTCTCTTAAAGTTCCATAATCCACCTAACTTCACACCCACTCTAATTTTACGTACCTTCATTCATATGATGGCTATTTTGAAGTTCTAAAAGACCTCATTATGTTTAAGCAATTCTTAGCTACAGGGATTCCAATATATTTGACAATCAAAAACAGCTGAGAAAGCTTGGCAATAGAACTTAGCACCAGAGGAAATCAATTGTGTTTTAGATATAAATCTGGTTTGTCCATTACACATAGACTCTTTGGACCGAGTTCTGATTTGAAGGCCATGTCTTAAGAGTTTTGGCACAAATCACTCTATTTCTATAGGAAACTTATTCTCAGTGTAGGAAGAAGGAAGAGATTCCCAACAATGATTTCAAGCTGAAGTATTTTATTAACCACAGAAGGACCCAGTGGACACCCCTGAAGGCTGAGCAGAGAAAGAACCATGACTGAAGAGTGGAGAAATTGGTTGATTTTCCAGTTCTCTCTGCCCTTCTGCTCTTTATTATCATTGAGTCCTTCGTGGGTCCTCTTCAGCGCACAGCAGGAAGAGAGAGGTGGCGTTTAAAGCTCAAGCCCAGACCAAGACACTTGTGGAGTCCAGGGATGCTCTCTGTTGAATGCAGCCATTCTAGTGACTGCAGCGTGTGTCTAAATCTCACCTTTCTTCAGCTGATCAAAATAGGGATCTAATTTGCAGATTCAGGTTGCACGCACATCTGAGAGAGAGTCACAGGAGATCACACCTTCTCAGTCCAGTCGGTTATTTTTAAAGATAATCAGGTGACCCACAGCTCCATGAGTTCACAGGTCAGAGAGGACATGAAACAATCAACTAACTCTCCTACCAGTAAAGCAAGTCAGAGAAAACACCTCCGTTTCCTCTTCACCTGACCACATCCCAGGGTGTTGCACTTTGGCTTCCGCCCGGAGCTTTCTCAAAAAACTGCCAAGCACTGGCGCTGGCCCCACCACTGGAAAGGTGGGTGTTCCCTAACATTTGGCGGTTGTAAGCACCCCTTCCCTGCCGGCTTTCACAATACTATGGCTCCCAGGGGTTTCTCCACTCTACTTAGCCACCCTTTCTCGTGTCACAGCCTGCCCCTCCAATGCAGTTGTTTCCCAGGATCCCTTCCAGACATCTTTCTTTTTTCCCTCTTCACCATGCCTCATCTTGTTCCCTTGGCTCCCAGCTCATTCCTTTCCCTATGCCTGTGCCTGCCTCTCTATAAACACTCATCCCTATGGGTCCTGCTGTCAGCGCAATCTCCTTGCCCACTCCCACACTCCGCCCCGGCTCCCACACTCCACGCTTGCTCCTTGCTCTGCCAGTGGTTGCTTCTGCCAGGAGATCTCCAGCAGCCTTCCTAACCTCTCTAGCACGGCCCTCCCACCTCTTCCACTGCTATGACCATCACAGCACCCCTTCCATCCCAAGGGTTTTATTCCAGTCCATTTGTCACCCTCACACCCAAGACAGCAGTGGGAAACCAAGCCCTGGTCACATTTCTCAACTATGGAGATGCATCAACAGCTCTAGTATGCTGTAATAACATGGTTAGCAGTTCTTTCAGAGCCTGTATCCAAAACCCAAAGAGAGCTCATTTCCTGTCCTGCCTCTGAGCCAAACCATAGCCATTCCTGCTGTATATGTCCCGGATGTTGCAAAGGCTGCCTCCTCTGCTTAAGATTCTTTTCCCCTCGGCAGTCAAACCCTTACTCACCTTTTAGCCACAGGATTAAATCTTCATTCTTCTACCCTGCATCCCCCTCTCCATTAAGGTTCCCATAATTCCAGAATGTGCCTTGGTTTTAAGCTGTTAGCCACTGGGCTATAGTTTTTGCTTAGAGATTGGGTTAATTTTCATAGATTGGGAATTCCTTAAAGATAGAGACCTCCTATTTACATGTCCCTAATGAGGAGAATTAGTACCTTGTAGAACAAATCCTCCTAACAAGTAAAGATGATCAGAGAGAGGCTCACGATCCATGGTAAGGACAAAAAAGAAGGGCAGTACACCTGTAGTCTTTCAGTGATGAGTGAGATGCAAGCCATGAATGATGTGACAATGAGTTAGACTTGCTGCTTCAGCTGGAAACACATCCTTGTAGTTCACGCCTTTCACCCACCCACAGGTGACATTTATTTCAAAAGGACACTGACAGGTCAGTTGGCCTCTTTTAGCAAGCGAGGTGTGTCCCTATGACTGGACAAGGAGCGTGAAGAGAACCATCACCCCGATCCCTGAAGCACCCGTGTTATGAGAAAGGCCTAAAACAGACAACAACCTTACAAATGACACCATACAATCAGCTAGAATCCTTCACATTTTATTACTCTGTGTGGGTGTTTGTGTGTGTGACGCAGAACCACAGGAAAGCAAAGTTCCTACTCACATCCTCACAATTTGCTGAGATGGCTTAAATAAAAATAAGTAATCATTTGTTAACAGCTGGCCCTAAATTCCTACTGATTGACAACAAAAACTACTGTGCTTTGTAAGGATGATTTTGGGGGGCTAACAGTTGTGACACAGTGACTTGAGCTGCTACCTGTAGTGCCAGCATCCCATAGGAGAACTTGTTTCAGTTCATCTCTCTGCTAATGAATGCCCTGGGAAAGCAGCAGAAGATGGCCCAACTGCTTGTACCTCTGCCAGCTACATGGAAGACCCAGACGAAGTTCCTGGTTATAGCCTGGCCCAGACCTGGGAATGGTGGCCATTTAGGAAATCAGTTTGATTGTTTAGTCTCTAACTCTGCCTTTCAAATATATAAATACATAAATAAATAAATATTTCTTTAAAAAGAAAGAATGATTTTTAACAGATGTCTTGCTTATAATTAAAAATACCTGGAGCACCCACATGGCAGATCCAGATAGAGTTTCAGGCCCCACCCGACCCTCTTGGCCATTTAGGGAAGTAACCAACAGACAGAAGATCTTTCTATCTCTCCCTCCCTCACTCACTCCTTCTCTCTCTTTTGTTCTCTCTGTCACTTTCAATAAATCAATCAATTGTAAAAAAAAAAAAAATGATACCTGGTGCTTGTTCTGTAGAAGAGCTGCTTCCCAAGACCATAAGTGATATAGCACAGCAAACCTGTCCACACTCATGTGGGACCATCCCCGGGGCTGGGCACTTTCAACCTGGCCGCCCTCTTTGTGACCTGGGGAGGAAGCAGGTGGTAGCAATGAGAGACAGACCTTGTCCTGAAGTGGCTCCTCCAAGAAATGTGCCCCTCAGATTTTCAATTCTGTGTCAGGGATGGAAATAGAGAAGTAGATACTGCAATTGCTAATACTCAGCATTAGAGCCCTCTCTACAGAACAGAGTCCAAAGCCCTCAGCTCTTTGAAACTTTAAGACTTCCAAGTCTGCTGGAGTCTTTGTTTTCATTTCTAATTTTAATCTTAAAGACTAATTTTAGACATAAAACCAGACTTTAGTTAACATCAAATCGATGTTAAAATATTTTCAAGCCTATAATTTCCAGGCAAAGCCAATATTCTTTTCTAGAAACACATCTCTGGTGGTTTCATGACAAATCCAATTTCATCCTCTGTTTCCATTAGTATTAGCTAAGTCAACATCTTCTGAGACTTTTGAGATATTTCTGAATTACATTAGCCACTAACTTAAATCAATAAAGATGACCACTGTCATTCTTGGGTTAAAATGTGAGGGATTTGCACAGGGTGGTGGGAAAAAATGGAAATAAGGTATGAATTTATTTGGGTGCACAGAATGTTGAAAGTCATGCCTAGATTTTTCATAAGATGCACTTTCTATGAACTTTGTAAAGTATCTTCCCATTAGATTATTATTATGTGTTATTATCTGAAGTCCTTTTCTGAGTCTACTAATATTACTTTTAACTACTGATGTTACTATCATCTATTTCAGGATAAAACAGTAGAAAACAAGAAATGTTTAGGGACTAAAGTTCCAGTTCAATCATTGCCATGCATGGCAGGAACTGAGTGAGGCCCAAACTTTGGCCAGGTAAGAAAGTATGTCACAGAATATGAGTCTATACTGATTCGCTTGGCAAAAAGATGGCCAGGTGCCTACCTAAGTGTCTCAATCAAATTAAATTCTTAGCAACTAGATACAGTTGCATAATAAATTAATATGGACAACCGTGATTCATTGGTCTGTGGGATCACCAGTAACAACAACAGCAAGTAACTGAAATTAAATGCCTTACAATATTGGGTGCCATCACTGTATCCCCTGACTCAGATATCAAGGGTTGGTGTCTAAGATACGACCAAGAGACCCATTCTGTATTAAATTAATTGCCTGGGACTTGGAAAGTTGCTTGGTCTAAACTCTTTGATAAGTGTTTTATAATAATATAGACAAGGATGATCCCTAATTACAGTGTACCTAAATTTCAAAATAGCCCAAACAATTGCTACATTTCCTTCTTGGTGTTGCAATGTGTCTAGAAGTTCACAGCTCTTTCCAAATGTTAAGTCAAATGCTGTCATGCTCCCGTGCTGCAAAAAGGGGGGGAAAAAAAGCAGATACTCTTTCTAAAATTGGAAGTTTCTGATAATGGTGCCAAAAGGAAGAGCACAGATTGCAGGTCACTTGAGTCCCCTGCATCATGATTCCTCTTGGGGGCTTGCCTGGTCCTGGCCTAGGCAGATCTGGCAGCCTGTTAGAGACCCAGGCATCTCTCTGCTTTCCACTGTAGTTTCCTCAAGCTCAGCTGCTTAGGAAAAAGTCACTCATTTCGCCTGTTTACTTTGCTCCCCTCAGGGCCCTGCACCCAGTAGGTGAGACCAAAAGGTCCCTGGGCAACAGAGTGTGCACACCAGCAAGACTAAACTCTGGGGTCTAGCATTGTGGTTTTTCAGACTAAGCTTCTGTATGTGGCACCTGCATTCCACATAGACACCAGTTCAAGTCCTGGCTGTTCCACTTCTGATTCAGCTCCCTGCTAATGTGCTTGGGAAAAGCAGTGGGAGATGGCCCAAGGCCTTGGGCCCCTACAGCCATGCAAGAGATCTAGAAAAAACTCCTGCCTTCTGGCTTCTGACCATCCCAGCTCCAACCACTGAGCCCACTTGGGGAGTGAACCAATAGATGAAAGATCTCTCTCTCTCCTCTCTCTACAACTCTATCTTTCAAATAAAAATAAAATAATTTCTTTAAGAAGAGTTACAACCCGGCTCTAAAAGAGGCTCACAGTGTCCTTCAGCAGGGAGCTTGAACTCCCAACAGAACTAGATCCTTTCTAAAATGAGCCTGCGCAGGGGTTAGGGGAATGGGCATGTTGAGTGTTTCGATAGTATTGGACATATGCTTGTGCACTGGGGTGGGATGTGCTCACAGAAACCTACGTGCTAAGATCTGACTTCCCACCTGTTCCTTTCTGGATGTAGTAGCTGGCCACAAGCAGGAGCTCAGCCTCCAGCCCCTGCAGGTCGCTCAGGGCCTCATCATACATCACATACATGCTGTGTTGGTCCTGGCTGTGGATGCAACCAGCCACTGTGCTGTAATAGTCTTCCTGGTTCTCCACATCTGAGAACTCCAGGAATGGGGTGCAGGGGCCCTGAGGAAAGAAATCCAAAGCCAGATGTTACTGGAAAAGAAAAGCTGACATTCCCTAGCCCTGAAGCTTCCCCAGACAGCAAGCTTTTTCTCCTACACAGCCATCTGTCTGTATGCAGCTGTGAACACTCACTGTGAAGGTAGGAACAACTATACACAGAAAAAAAAAAAACATGACAAGGATAAAGAATGTCAGTGGTGGAAGTACTTCCTGAAGTTGATAACTACAGATGATTGCTTTTTCTTTTTTTAAGATTTTTAAAATTTGAATTTGAAAAGCAGAGTAAAAGTAGAGAGAGAAGGACAGAGAGGAGAGACATTTTCCATCCACTGGTTCACTCCCCAAGTGGCTGCAATGGCTACAGCTGGATCAGTCCGAAGCCAGGACCCTCTTCTGGGTCTCTCACATGCGTACAGGATACCAAGCACCTGATCTATTCTCTGATGCTTTCCTAGACAAATTAGCAGGAAGCTGAATCAGGACTTGAGCTTGCACCCACTTGGGATATCAGATATACAGGTAGAGCCTTAACCTGATATGCTGTGCCACCTGGTGCTGACCCCAGATGATTATTTCTTCTTCTGGATAATTCTGGAATAATTGGGAAAAGAGCCAGGCCACACTAGTGTTAAAGAGGAGTCAAATTATCTGTTTCAGGTCCTGGTTGTGCCCCCGTTTTCATGTCTGTATCATGAGAACAGTGGAGATCATATACAATACCATAGCTGATGGGAGCTAGCAGGAGTGAGGCACCTGCAGCCCACAAACTTTAGTTAACATTTTTGTTTTCATTCTCTAACTACTTCTAATGTGTGTCAGCATCATCTGCTAGCTCACTAACATAACAGTAATATCTCCCCCCAAGTTCACCAAGTTGGGTACCAGGACAAGTCAAGACTAGTAGGAACAGAGAAATGCAGTTCGGATCTCCTGCATGGGTGACAGGAACCTAAATACTGGAGCCATCACCTGGTGCCTCCCAGGGGGTGCATTAGCAGGAAGCTGGAATCAGGACAAGAGCTGGGACTTGAAAATGGGCATTCTGATACAGGACGTGGGCACTCTAAGCAGCATCTTAACCATCAGGCCAAGTGCTTCTCCTCACACGGAGTGGAAGGGGCCTTGGGCAAACTGAGGTAGAGATCACAGTGATGCATCCACAAGCCAGGGGATGCTGATCATCACCGGCAACCTCTGGAAGCTGGCCATGGCGAGGCAGCACCTCCACCAAGCCTTCAAGAAGACTGATGGGCCTGAGGACACCTGCGGCTCCAAACCAGGGAGGGAGCACAGAGCTTGTGGTGAACCACCCAGTCTGTGGCACTTTATCATGGGCTTTGTCATGGCAGTGCTCCCCTCGGACACTCTCTGAGGTAAGGACTACATCCACCACAAAGGTGTGTGTGTGTGTCCTCAGCCAGCTCAGAAACTGTGCTCCTGATCATTCTTCTGCTGGCCTATCACCATTCTCCTGGTTTCATGCTTCACTCTCTTGCAGCCTCTGAAGTCCTCCATCCCCAAGGTGCCTACCCTCCCTCTCACCTGTGGCACCTCCACTCTGCCACCTCCAGCATCTCCTTTGCTTCTCCCTTCTTCCTTCCTCCCCAGTGGAGCTGAGTCATGCCCCTGCCTGGGCTGAGGCCCTTTCTCCCCATGCTTTCCTATCTTGGATGCATTCCCTCTCCTCCATGGCTATCTAGTTCCCCTCTGCTGGACTCTTCCCTGTGGACAGGAACATCTACTAACATTCTCTCTCAGGGTCCCCCTCAAGTCCTAGTGTTGGGTTCAGGTCCGGTTCCAGATCCAGGCAGCTACACAGACTAATGTTCAGCTCAAAGTAAACTCTGTTGGGAGCGCTCCCAGCAAGGTTCACTGATCCAGTATAGGCAGTAGGCCAGGGAAGTCATGCCCAGGGTCTGTGGGGAGGAGGTAGGTGGTAGGAGGAAGAGAGAGAGACAGACAGACTGCTCCCTAGTGGGAGACAGCCCAGGACTACTTCCCATTGCAGGGTGACCATGTGAGGGAAATGGCCGCCAAGGGCATACAGCACTGGGCTTTTATACGTTTTAGGTGTGGGGAATGGGGGAAGGCAGCAGCTCCTCAGTTTGCATATGCTTGTGGCCATGACACGTTATCATGTTGGGTGTTGATCTCCTGTGTACTCAGCATTGAAAACATTTCTGGATGGGAGTGTCTGTTTGACCTCGGTAAAAACAGCATTGAAGCTAGTGAGGCTCTCTTCTGTCTTTGGTGGCCAGAAGAAGGCAGGAAGGAGAGACAGCACAGAGTCTGCTGGTTACCAAGGTTACCAGGTGTTCCTGATTTGTGATAAGTTTCCTTTTCCTTTGATGCACTCAGCTCCCTCAGGAGTTGCAGAAGCTCCGCCTAACACCTTGGACCTCATCTTTTCCTTCTACCTTCCTTCCCCAGGAAATCACATTCACAAATTTACAGCTCGAATGACTACTACCTGTTAACTGGTTGTTTCTGGATTCCTATCTCCAGATCAGACTTCTTAGAGCGCTGGAACCAGGTACTCAATGATTCATCTGGTATCCTTTCCTGGGTAACTCAACTTTCACATGGTCTGACAGCTCGTTCAGTCTCACCCTACATGTCCATTCAGTCACCAAGTCCTGCTGGGTTTCCTTCCTGGTTCTCAAAATCTACCCACTGCTTTCTGTCTCCTCCACCCACTACCCATGTAAGCTATTATTATCTTTCCCCAGGATTCATCTAAGGAGTGTCTAAACTTGTCTAGCCTCTTAATTGGCTCATCCACATCCCCTCTGGCTGGGGCTTTCCCTCCTCTCTGTGTCACTCACTCCCTGCTTGCAAGGAACTTCTAGAATGCACTTCTGGTAATGCTTTTAAAATCCTAAAGGTGCTCTATTTCTCATAGAAAACAATAAAACTCCTATGAATACAAAACTGATAAAATACAACATAGCACCTCAGGGAGCTGGCCCAAACTAGTCCTTTTAGCCTTGCGCATCCTGGTGGAGGAAAATTGTCCCCTAAGGGAACCTTAGGCCATGTATGGAGATTTTTTGATTATCACCACTTAAGGACATCTGGTTGGTAATAGCATCTAGGAGCTAATATATACAGTACCTATTTGCGACATCATTCATGGGTCATACAAAATTATCAACCTAAAAATTAGTCTGCTACAGATCAATATCATGGACTATAGGCCAGACAAGCCCAACTCCTGATGGAGGTAGGAGCCAAGCATGTTGCTAAGCAGCAATGCACAGAGCAGCCTCTCACAATGAAAAATTCTCAGGCCCCAAGTGTCAATGGAGTCAAGCTCCATTTTGCACCAATTTCTTCCCAACTTGTTTTGTTTTAGCCACTCATAATTTTTTATATAGGCAAATTTACAGAGAAAAGGAGAGAGTTTCCTGTCCTCTGGTTCATTCCACAAATGGCCACAAGGGCCAAAACTGAACTAAACTGAAGGTGGGAACCAGGAGCTTCTTTTGAGTTTCCCACACAGCTGCAGGGAGTCTCGAGCAGCTGGGCCACCTCTGTTGCTTTCCCAGGCCACAAACACAGAGACAGATGGAAGGTGGAGCAGCCAGGACAAGAATCAGTACCTATTTGGGATGCTGGACATTGCATGTGGATGAATAGTCTGTCATGCTACCCGGTCAGTCCTCCACTCCTGACTTGTCTTGGACGCTGCGCTAGAGCAGCTGGGACTGGAATCAGCACTCAACTATTGGGATGCTGAAGTTTCAGGCTGTGAGTTAACCTACTGCACCACAATGCTAGTCCCTCATCATCCTTAGAGTGTGAATCCTTCACTATGTAACCAGTTACTACATAGACCCCAGCACCGGTATGTTTCATCAGTCAGCCCAGGCTCTCTGCAGACCTCTTGATTGGTTTACATTTCCTGTGGCACAGCTACAGGAAACTCTCTGCACTAAGCAGGCAGCTGATGGCCAACCTCAGGAAGGAGCACAGAGCACGCCTAGAACCCACAGTTCCACAAATGTGTGCTTGATTCTTAAGCCTTCTAAGATGTAAAAGTGTGAACCATAGTAGGTAATAATCTACAGAAGGATATTTCATAGCAAAACCTTCCTCCAGCAGGCAGTTCTGTTTTGCTTTGCTTTCTGCTGCTCTTGAGCATTTAGGACATTTTAATAATTAAAGGCTTCCTTTAGTTAGAATTGCAAAGGTGAAATGATTGCTTCTGACAGAGTGGGCAGGACCAGGGGAAAACAGAAAGGAGGCTGAGAAATGACCTGCTACATGTGAAGTGTACACAGCTTCCTTCGACTTGTAAACTGAAGTGCTGGCTCTTGTTGGCATGGGCGCCTCTCTCAATGCACAAAGAGCTCTTTACTTTGAGGAAAACAGTATTTTCACGATCAAAGTCTTTCTGAATGTTCCTATAAAGTGGAATTTTACACTTGATTTTAGCCAAAAGGCCAAGAAAGTAATATAGAGGGGAATTTTATAAGTTTATAAAGAAATGGCTATTGGGGCCCAGCATGATGGCTTGGTGGCTAAATCCTTGCTTTGCAACCACCAAGATCACGTAAATGTCCCAGCTGCTCCACTTCCCATCTAGCTCTCTGCTTGTGGCCTGGAAAAGCAGCACAGGATGGCCCAAAGCCATGGGACCCTGCACCTGTGTGGGAGACCAGCAAGAGACTCCTGGCTCCTGGCTCCTGGCTTCGACTGGGCTCAGCTCCGGCTGTTATGGCCACTTGGGGAGTGAACCAGCATATGAAAAGTCTTTCTCTCTGTATCTTCTATTTGTAATTCTGCCTTTCCAAAAAAGACAGATCTTTTTAAAAAGGATGAAATGGCTACTGAATTGAGTTCTGATGTGAATGGATAGTCACAATACAGTCAAGATGCTGATTCTACTGCCATTGTCTATTTTTCAATGAACTTAAATATTATTTCATTTATCTATTTTATTTATTTGAGAGGTAGAGAAATATAAACAGAGACTGTCCTCTGCTGGTCGATTCCCC